TACTACTACACCTACTACTACTACCTACTACTACAACAACAACTACTACCACTTCCACTACAACTACTAATACCAACAGAAATAAAAGACAATTATCACCTCCGACTAAGAAAGGATACAGACCATATTCACCACCACCATTATCGCCATATTGATGGAAGGCCACCAGCTGAGCGCACCGATTGCACAAAAGCATAAAAACTGAGTTACGGTCACGACAAGCACATTTGATTATCAATTAATGCTAAATAATGCGCTGTATTCCTGCGTCTTCTTGATATTCACAATGTGTATATTGGTCGTAAATCCATTATGTTTTGCTTGTGATGAAAGGGAGATGCGCAATCTTTACAAGATCAATGTGGATGAGGCGAGGAGGGAGAGGAGGAGAAGGAGGGGAGGGGGAAGGGAAGGGGGAAGGGGGAGGGGGAAGGGGGAAGGGAGAGGGAGAGGGAGAGGGGATGGGAGAGGGAGAGAGAGAGGGGAGAAGAGGAGGAAGAGGGAGATAGGGAGAGAGAGGGAGAGAGAGAGGGAGGAAGAGAGGGGGGGAGAGGAGAGAGAGAGAGAAGGAGGAAGCGGGAGATGAGAGAGATGGAGAGAGGGAGGGTGTACGAGAGGAGAGAGAGGGGAGGAGAGAGAGAGAGAGAGAGAAAGAGAGAGAGAGAAAGAGAGAGAGGGAGAGAGAGGGAGAGAGAGAGAAAGATGGGTAGAGGGATTGATAGACAGATACAGATACAGATAGCTACATTTTTTACGTGTGTATACTATGTGGACATTTTCTCATCATATATAGAATCATATAGACAAAAGCACATACATAACAATAGTTCCAATGACTAAAATGATGCTTAATTAAAGATACAGTATCGATAATGATAATGATAATTCAATAGTTATTTCATCAATGACAATTATAATGGTATAAAAACAAGAGTAGAAAAATATAATAGAATTGAAAAAATAACTATATTATAAAAGATCATATCATTATATCAATAGCAATATCAATGAAAACAGTAATTGTGGTTTTAAAGATAAAAATGATCATAAAATAATCATAGGAAAGTAACGCAAGAATTCATGATGATAACAATAACAATTATAGTTATGTTAATGATGGCGTTTATATTGATAATAATAATTACAATGATGATAGTATCAATATCTGCGATTAGTACTACTTCTACTACTTTTAAAATTATGCCTATCGCTTATGATAATAATAATGATAGTAAAAGAAATATTAATGATAAGGATAAGAATAATGATGATGATAATAATGATACAAAAGTCAGTAAAAATAATATTGCTATGATAAGAGTTATAATTATCATTATACTACTACTACTTATAATATTAGTACTAATAAAAATTATTGTGACACTAATGATAATGATAATAATAATATCAATAATAAAGATAATAATAATAATAATAATGATAGTAATAATGATAATAGCAATAACAATTGTAATAATAATAGTAATAATAATGATAACAACAATGATAATATCCATTTTAATGATGATAGTGATAACGATGATGATAATGAAGATAATGATGATAATAACGATAACAATAATAATGATGATAATAATGCTAATATCAGAAACGATGATAATAATAACAATAATAATAATGATGAATATAATATCAGAAATGATGATAATAATAACAATAATATTAATGATAATGATAATATCAGAAATGTGATGATAATAACAATAATAATAATGATAATGATAATAATGATAACAATAATAATGATAATAATAATATTTATAATAATAATAAAAATAATGAAATAATAGCAATAACAACAACGACAACAATAATAATCATAATCATAATAATAATAACAATAATAATAATCATCGTCATCATCATCATCATAATAATAATGATGATAATGATAATAATGATAACAATCAGGATCATGATAACAGCAATAATGAAGGTAATACTACTGATAATAGTAATAAGGAGGAGGAGGAGGAGGAGTAGAAGTAGGAGGAGTAGGAGTAGGAGTAGGAGTAGGAAGTAGGAGTAGGAGAGAAGAGAAGAAGGGAGGAGGAGAAAGAGGAGGAGGAGAAGGAGGAAAGAGGAGAAGGGGGAGGAGGAGAAGGATGAGGATGAGGAGGATGAGAAGGAGGAGGAGGAGGAGGAGGAGGGAGGAGGAGGAGGAGGAGGAGGAGGTGAGGAGGAGGAGGAGGAGGCGAGAAGAAGAAGAAGAAGAAAAGGAGAGGAGGAGGGAGGAGTAGGAGGATGGGGGGGAGGAGGGGAAAGAGGAAGAGGAGAGAACGAGAGATAACGAGAGAAACAAAGGGACGCCCCCTTTCCCCCCAAAGAAAAAAGACACAAATCAAGAGGAGGAGAAGGAGGAGGAGAAGAAGGAGGAGAAGGAGGAGGAAGAGAAGGAGGAGGAGGAGAAGGGTGAGGAGGAGAAGGAGGAGGAGGAGAAGGGGAAGAGAAAGAGGAGGAGGTGGGAGAAGGGGGGAAGAGAAAGGAGGAGGAGAGAAGAAGGGGAAGAGAAAGAGGAGGATGAGAAGGAGGGAGAGGAGGAGAGGAGGGGAGGAGGAGAAGGAAGAGGAGGAGGAGGAAGAAGAAAAGAAGAAGAAGAAGAAAAGAGGGGGAAAAGAGGAAGAGGAGAGAACGAGAAAAACGAGAGAAAGTAAAGTAACGCCCCCCATCCCCTCTCAAAGAAAAAAAGACACGAACCAAGACACAACACACAAAAAAAATCCTCCGAATCTTTTCCTTTAATTCCTCTCTCAAATACATCTCGAAGGCAAGGAGGCAGAGAAAGAGGAAAACGAAGCAAGAATTAAATCCTTTTATTCTGCGAGAACCCCGAGTATATCTTCTCCCTCCCTCCTTCGTGACGCCGAGCAACGGACAGACGGAGGGGTGATGCAAAGCCAATTAGTGTACTGAATCGAACCCAAAATATACTCTCAGTGGAAGAGTATTTACGTTGTATATTCCGCTCAGCTGATCATGATGCTGTCGGGGGGGGGGTGGGTGGGGTGGGGTTGGGGGAGGGGGAGGACTGGAGGGAGGGAGGAGGGAGACACAGAAAGAGAAGGGGAAGGAGAAGGAGGAAAATGGTCCAGGGTGGAGATGGTAAGGGAGCAGGAGAAGGAGGAGAAGAAGAGGGAGAAGGACAAGGAGAAGGAGATAGATAAGGAGTGAGAGAAACGGAAAGATAATTTAGAAAGAGAGAAGAGAGAAGGAGAAAAATAAGGGGAAATGAGAATGAGGAAAAAGTGAGAGCGAGAATGAGAATGACAAGAAGAGTGAGAGTGAGAGCGAGAGAATGAGAATGTAGTGATATAGATAAAGAGAAAGTGAAATATATATATATATATATATATATATATATATATATATATATATATATATATATATATATATATATATATAGATATATATATATATATAGAGAGAGAGAGAGAGAGAGAGAGAGAGAGAGAGAGAGAGAGAGAGAGAGAGAGAGAGAGAGAGAGAGAGAGAGAGAGCAGAGAGAGAGAGAGAGAGAGAGAGAGAGAGAGGAGAGAGAGAGAGAGAGAGGAGAGAGAGAGAGAGAGAGAGAGAGAGAGAGAGAGAGAGAGAGACGAAGAGAGTGAGAGAGAGGAGAGAGAGAGAGAGAGAGAGAGAGAATGGAGGGGAGGGGGGGGGGAGTCTGGGTGAGTTGGAGGAGGAAGAAAGGGTAAACAGAGGTCATCGCTCTCGTGTCCACGCTCTCCGTGCTCTTCTCCCTTTCCCTCTTTTCTCACTTCTCCCCCCCCCCTCTCTCTCTCTCTCTCTCTCTCTCTCTCTCTCTCTACTCTCTCTCTCTCTCTCTCCTCTCTCTCTCTCTCTCTCTCTCTCTCTCTCTCTCCTCTCTCTCTCTCTCTTCTCTCTCGTTCTCTCTCTCTCTCTCTCTCTCTCTCTTCTCTCTCTCTCTCTCCTCTTTCTCTCTCTCTCTCGGTCTCTCTCTCTGTCTCTCTCTCTCTCTCTCTCTCTCTCTCTCTCCTCTCTCTCTCTCCTCTCTCTCTCTCTCTCTCTCTCTTCTCTCTCTCTCTCTCTCTCTCTCTCTCTCTCTCTCTCTCTCTCTCTCTCTTTCTCTCTCTCTCTCTCTCTCTCTCTCTCTCTCTCTCTCTCTCTCCTCTCGTCTCTCTTCTCTCTCTCTCCTCTTCTCTCTCTCTCCTCCTCTCTCTCTCTCTCTCTTTCTCTCTCTCTCTTTCCCTTCCTATTCCCCTACTCCTATCATCCTCCACATCCTTACCTATTCCAAACCACTCCCATTCTCCCCCAACCCTACCACCCCATACCCATCTAAATTCCATCCAAGCCATCCCCACCCACCCTCCTTTCGGCCACAAACTTGCACCCTCCCCTCCTCCCCCCTCCCAAGAACCTATTTACCAACACACCCCTCCACCATCCCCGAGAGTGTACCCACACCTTCTGCAATGTAACACACACCCAAAATCCATCAACCACCCCACACACAACCCCCCCCCCCCAAGACCAAGAGAAATACCCCCTCCCCCTTTTGCAACGTCACACAACACCACACACCCCCCCATACCACCCCCACACACACACAAACCCATCCACCCCCCCACAAACAACCCCACCCCCCCAAGACCAAAGAGAATACCTCCCCTTTTTGCAACGTCACACACACACCAAAACCATCCACCCCCCACAAACACCCCCCACCCAAGACCAAAGAGAATACCCCCTACCCCCTTTTGCAACCGTCACACACACACACAAACCCATCCACCCCGCCCCCCCCCCCCAAGACAAGGAGAAATACCCCCTACCCCTTCTGCAATGTAACACACACACACACAAACCCATCCACCCCCCACCCCCCCCCGAGACCAAAGAGAATACCCCTCTACCCCCTTTTGCAACGTCACACACACACACAAACCCATCCCACCCCCCACAACCCCCCCCCCCAAGACCAAAGAGAATACCCCCCCTTCTGCAACGTTGCAACTCACCGCCTGTGGGATGCTCTGAACGAGGATGGATGTTCGCAGTGAGACCGTCTCGCTCCCGAGGGGGTTGCTCACTCTTACCCTGGGGCGGTAGCGGCCGGGACGTCTCCAGTTACAGAGGAACTAGAATAAAAAAAAGAAAGAAAGAATTATACGGAGGGACTGGAAAAAAAAGAGAAAGAAAGAGGAAGAGAGAATTGTAGAGAGGAATTAGAGACTGAAAGAAAAGAGAAAGAAAGAGAATGGAGAATTGTAGAGAGGAATTAGAGACTGAAAGAAAAGAGAAAGAAAGAGGAATGGAGAATTGTAGAGAGGGACTAGAAACAAAGAAAGAGAATGGAACTAAAAGAAATATGAAGAAAAGGAGAAATAAAGAATCTCCAGTTACAGAGCAACTAGAAAAAAGAAAGAAAGAATTATACGGAGGAACTTGAAAAGAAGGGAAAGAGAGAACTTGATAGAAAAGAGAAAGAAAGAGGAATGGAGAATTGTAGAGAGGGACTAGAAACAAAGAAAGAGAAAGGAACTAAAAAAAAAAGAAGAAAGATGAAATGAATCTCCTGTTACAGAGGAACTAGAAAAAGAAAGAAAGAAAGAATTATACGGAGCGACTTGAAAAAAAGAGAGAGAAAGAGGAAGAGAGAATTGTAGAGAGGAATTAGAAACAAAGAGAAAGAAACAGGAAGAAAGAATTATAAGGAGGGACTGGAAAGAGAAGAGAAAGAAAGAGGAATGGAGAATTGTAGAGAGGAACTAGAGACAAAGAAAGAAAAAGGAACTAAAAAGAAGGAAACAAAAAAGGAGAAAGAAAGAATCTCCAGTTACAGAGGAACTAGAAGAAAATGGACAGGGAGAATTATACGGAGGAACTTAGAAGAAAAGAGAAAGAAAGAGGAAGAGAGAATTGTAGAGAGGAACTAGAAACAAAGAAAGAGAAAGGAACTAAAAAAAGAGAGAACAAAAAAATAAAGAATTATACAGAGGAACTAGAAAAAACAAAAACAAATTAAAGCATCAACCAGAGGAACTGGAAAAAAACAGGAAAAAAGAAAGAGAAATTATTATTGAGAGGAACCACAAAAAAAAAAAAAAAAAAAAATTATACAGAAGACCCCCAAAAGAAAAGAAAAAAGGACAATAAGAATTATACGAAGGAACTAGAAAAAGAGAAAGAAAGAATTATGAATAGGAATAAGAAAAAAAGGAAAATAGAGAAAAAAGGGAACTGTACAGAGGAATTAGAGAAAACAGAAAGAAATAATTAAACGGAGGAACTAGAAAAAGCGAAGGAAATAAACATACAGGGCACTTAGAAAAAACAAACAAACAAACAAGAAAAGGAGGAAAGAAGGAAATGAAAAGAGGGACTGGAAAAAATAGAAAAAAATTGTTACACACAGGATCTCGGAAAAAAAGAAGGGTTTGTTGTTCATGTTTTTATTATTATCATTTTTTACTACTACTACTATCGTCATCATCATCATCATCACTTCATTATCATCATCATTATAATTATCATCATTATTATTATCATAATAATTATCGTTATCATCAAATATTATCATTATTAATATCATCATCATCATTATCATTTTCATCATCTTTATCATCATCGTACCATACTATCATTATCATTATAATAACTATTATTGTCAATTATTATTATCATTACTATCTAATACCATTATCACTATTATCTAATATTATCCTTACTACTATTATTATTTTTGTTCTTATCATTATCATTATAATAATGATAATAATAATAACATCAATGCTAATAATGACAATATTTTTTGTTAATATCATTATTATTATTTTATCATCCTTACCATTACTATCATTATTCTCATTAATAGCATTATCATCATCATTTTTTATTACTGTTATTATCATCTTTGATGTTATCGTTATTATCATTATCATTATTACTATTAATATAACTTTTGCTATCATTATTATCATTATTATTTTTATCACTATTATTGTTATTATCATTACTGCCATTATCACTATCATTATCATTATTAATATTATCATTATCATTATCTTTATTATTATAATTATCATGATTATTATTGTAATTATTACCATCATTATTATCATAATCATTATCATTTTTTTATTACTATTATCGTTATTATTATAATTTTGATTATGATTACTATTATCATTGCAATTATTACTATTATCATAATCATCATTATCAATATTATTATTATCATAATTGTTATTATCATCACTGTTATCAATATTACCAGTGTTTTCTTATTATCATCATCATTATCATTATTGCATAACCATTTTCATTTGCTATTATTATTGTTGTTGTAATTTTCATTGTCATTTCTATATGTATTACTATTATTATCATTATCATCACTATCATTATAGTTATCATAGATGATGATCTTATAAGTGCAATAGCAATAACAACACCTACTAAAACAGCAGTAAGGATGGACATAACAACAATAACGAAAGTACCGCAATGGAAATGGAAATCACACACACATGCACACACAAAATAATGATAATAGCATCAGATGAAATAATCATGCGAGGTTTAAGTCTAGAAACTCCAAATTGCAAATATAATCTCTTCTGAATCTCTGTGTATAGAAAATGTGTTATTTTATGTCGATAACAAAAATCATGAACTACAAAATCACGCTTATTGCAAGCAGTGTAAATATTCATATTGACCGGCAGTGCAGCAGTATAAACAACATATCCAGGAACGCACTCATTGCAACATTGCAATAATGAATTCCTATTATGTACGCTCTGCATTTATGTTTTGTCACTATTTTGGCCCCGCGTACAGATGGTGCAGGACAAGGGCAATAGCTACTTATAGAGATTATCAATATTACTATGCAACCATTTTCATTGTTTTTCTTTTCGGGTTCGCGTGTGAAATGTATCGTCAATTTTGGGTTACTGTCTGTTTGCTTTGGTAAACAGATGAATAAATAAGAAATATTTTGTTATCATATTGGGGAGTATTTTGCTTATTTTAGTACGCTAAGGTTACGTCACAATATTACCTGTAAAGGGGCCATTCTTAATGCCGTTAGATAAATGGTCTAGCTTGCTTTCTCTCATTTAGTTATTTAGTTTTTAGATTGACAGGGACGTGTGTGACAATTGACAATGTACAATATATAACATGTTTTTTTCTGTATAAATACACACAAATTCGGAAAAGGAATACTCAGACACACACACACACTCACACTCAAGTACACACACATACTCAATCCAAGCACACACATGCACACACACCACACACACCCACACACACTCACACACACACACACATCCACACCCGCACACACACACCACCTAACCCCAATCTCACCTCCGCAACCCACCCTCCACCACCGTTCTGCTCGACGTTCAAGGGCCTCGAGGGAATAACTCGACCCCGTCCTCCAGCTCGAGGGCGAGGGGGGTCAAGGTGCCGATCCCTCCGCCACCGAGATGTTTATGGACACGTTCCTCGTCCGTCCTCTCGCAGGCCAAAGGGAAGGAGCGGCAAGCACGACGTCCCTCTCGGCCACGCTGAGGAAAGGGAAGGAGCGGTTCAGGGAAGGCGGGCGCCGGCTCGCTTTAGGATGGTGATAATGATAACGATAGAAATATTAATAATGTTATTATCATTGGATGAAAATAATGATAGAAATATTAATAATGTTATTATCATTCTGATTATAGTTAATGATATTAATGATGATAATAATAATGATAATGATGATAATGAAATAATAGTAGGGATAATCAAAATAGCTATAATGACAACAACAATAACAATTATATAATGAGATAAAAATGACAATAGTGATGGTAAATAATGATAACTGATAATTATAAAAATAAGAATAATACGACAACGCAATAAGCCAATGAAAATAATGATAAAGAATAATACTAAAATGACTATAATTGTTCATCACTATTAACAATAATGATTCATCTATCATATTAAAAAATAACC